TTTACAGAAACATGCTAATGGACTTTTTTGTGCATCACGAGTTGTTACACATGTGTGGCGAATTCCGTAGGTGGAGGTGAAACGCAGCCGCGATGGGACTCTGTTGAAATATTGTAGGGGGCGCAGTTGAGTCGTGTTGCATTTTAGAGGTTGACCCAGCCTGACTTTTTTGTTCGTCCTGACCTGCTCTATATACCTTTGAAATTGCGTAGCTCTAGGGCAAACGTGCTTCGGACAGGACTCCATTGAAATTTTCAAGGTGGCGCTGTGGACATGTCCACATCTCTGATAGTTTCCGGAAACAGATTAGGCTTTGACCCATCTAGGGTAAGGAGAGGTGCAGGAACAGAGGAGTGGTCAGCCAGGACCCAGGTCTAGTTGACTGGGACCTCATTGACACTCAGGACCTTCACGGAGTCGGGGAGCAGCAGACATGACATCAGCTGGAGCCATGCTTTCTTCTGGAAGGCTTCCCAGGAGGTTGCTCCAGGGCAGGACCTACAGGAAACCAGCAACACAGAGGCTTGCAGACTCAGGAAATGACTGCAGATGATCAGGCTGGTGACTGGCTGACTGGAGCTGACGGGAAACTAGCAGGTCCCAGGCGAAGGTTAGCTTGGGGATGATCTGAGGAGTTCAGTAACAGTTCTGCCACACCAGAAGCTTTCCAAAGCCAGGCTCTTGAGTATGTAGAGTAGGGGTATTCAATTAAAAGTCACTGAGGTCCAGCTATTAAAATGTCCTCCAAGTGTAAAAGGTCCGAACCGAAGTCCAGTTTGTGTCCTACAGCCTTCCCCTGTGGCCACATGTTCATGGCTTCAACAACACTTATTGTCAGTTTTCAGTGCAGGATGTTTAACTGAGTCAACAGCTGGTTCTGGTACCAGATATAGAAGCAGTGCCAGGCAAATAAGTTTAAGGCCTTTATTTCAGACTGGAGAAAACAAAAACCTCAGAATAAAATACATTTAAAAAGTGCAAACAGAGCCGAATAATCCTTTAATCTCCTAAAGAGGTCCCAGCCCAAAGACCTGGAGGCCTCCACTTCCAGTAGAAAGCCAACACCCTCAGGAACAACAAATCAAAGGTTTGGTAGATCTGTCATTCTGGGCCGGCAGCTCGGTTCTTCTGCCCTCAGCTCGGACTTCAGGGAGAACTTTGCTCTACAGAGGTAGCGGTGCTTCACGCTGCTGCTGCTTTTACTTAACGCCATGTTTTCAGAGCACATGAGGCCTCTGGTTGTGAACGACCTGATGGAAGAATGAACATAAACCTCTCCGTCCACTCATCATTAAAACAGCAGCCTTCCTTCTGTTGGACCGAGCCATGTTGTCATCACTTCCTCTCTGCTCTGCTGTAGAGGCAGAGCGGCAGCGAGCTGTGGCGGTGCGCCGCCGTGCAGGGGAACCAAACGATCTGATTGGCTGGACTGAGTGGAGCGATTACCGTATTAAATAGAATAGCAGCGACCGTTGGAAAAAATGCTCCATGAAAATCTGTTCTGAATTTATCAGAGATTGGTCACGGGTCCGGACAGAACCATCACTCGGTCCGGATCTGGACCGAGGTCCACCATTTGGTGATGCCTGATGTAGATGGTTCTGGTTCTGTGATGGCCCTTTACAAGTAGAGCGAACCGTCCCTAGATATTCTGACTATGGGTCCAGTTCTGGCCAGTTCCCACTGTCAGAGTGTGTTGGTAGAAGACACAGGTCCAGATGAGTCAGTGTGATGACTTCACCGCTGTGGTGATGCAAGTGAAAGCAACATGTTTGAAGTCTCAAAGCATTGTTCCTGGTTTCGTCGTGAGGACTTTGAGCGTTAGCCAGGCGCTTGAATGAGTTAATCGGTGATTTGGTAACAAATAAGTCATGTGTTGGGGCTATTTGGTGCATTCTAAGCTAACAGAAGCTAATGTGTGTCTTAGCTAACTGCTAGCGGTGGACCAGCCAACTTTTCAACAATAAGCACCGGCATGAATGTGAGGTGATAAACTGAATCCAGAGCTTTGGTTTCTGCCGATGACATCTCCATCATCGAGGACAGACAAGACGACTACTCAGAACGTTTGCTTTCTGACTGGATCCAACATGTCTCTATGTGCTGCTTATTGACTGGTAACGCTAAGATCACATGACCCGTTTCTTCTTTCTTTCATGGACCTGAACAACCATCCCACTGCTTCATGTTGACACTGTCACTCACATGTCCAGAGGGTGTGAATGGTCAGGCTTTTTTGGCTTCCTTGTACGGATGGAGATCATTTTCCTTTTAAAATGCTGTATTAAAATAAAAATGCAGTTGTGCTGATGGAGCCTGAGGCGGCACTTTCAACCGCAGCACTGCAAAAGTGATCAAAGACAGAGCTGAAAGAAAAAGATAAAAACTCACTGGGGCCTTCCTCCTCCTCCAAACACTCTTCATCAAGGTGGTGGTCACACCACGTTTTCTTACAATACAGAGATTCAAATGTGAGTGACTTTCACAAGTGCTTCCTGTACGGCGGATGGTAAAGAACCAGCTGAAAGAAACCACATCAGTGAAGCATTAGGTAATGATAGGTCTATAATTATCTGTAAATCCATCATACCTCCACTTTCTGCATGATCACTCCTGATTAACACCAGACAGGAGCTGCTGCATCCTTCCTGATTACACAAGCAGGAGCCACTCATTGTGTGTTCCCTCTTCCTTGTGTAAATTATCATCCTGAGTAGTCAGTAATACATTATTTTCTTATTTCCGTAGTAGTAAATCAGTGACAGCGTGAATCTCAACACGTACAGATCACAACAGGAGTGAGAAAAATCCCCGAAACGCTTCCTCTTATGAAAATCAAAAACTAGACTGTATTGAAAATGCGTGGCCTCAAGTGGAAGCTTAATGCAGCATCATAACTGCACTGACATGCTTAGAAGAGGAGCGGCATGACTTGGCTGAGCTCCCAGAGAAACTGAAAATCTGATTGTGACGCTTTGCAAAGATGGGAAAGGATGCAACTAATACTCAATCAGAACGGAGTTACAGCAGTAACGAGGAGGTATAGAATGAGTACCACTAGTTAACAATAGACTAATAGCTGCATGGCCGTCTGCTTCAAGTGACACCGAAGACACCGATCTCCCTGTAGGAGCAACAGAAATCTGAACTTGTGTGGAAGTCAGACCTCTATGGACGGTGTGAGGATGGCTGAGGGGCGTGGACGTGGATGTTCAATATTGTAGTGGGCACAGTTGAGCCGTGTTGCATTGTCGAGCTTGGAGCTGCGACTT